TTACCTTGGGTTATAAGTAATTATACCTATAGTTACCTTACTGATAACCCCAGTTACTAAGTCCCATGATCCTTTAAGTGGTCTGAGGTTGGAGGTTTCGTGTTGTGGGTTTTCAGTCGTACAATAGGAGGCAACGGGGGGAGGGGGGGGTCGGATCATGGGCTTCCAATTATTCCTACAGATCTAGAGTCCGTGCCGTAGACTTTTGGGCTAGAAAAGAAACATCTTGATCTCGCGGACCCTTGGCTCGAAATCAACTTCCGGGATGTCTAGGTGCGGGTTGATTTATGTCTTGGGAGTTCGGGGTTTAGGCATTGCTCAGGGTGTATTTTTCGGGATAGCAGGTCGAGGTGTCAAGACCTTGGGTTAAAGGACAAAAATTCAGAATTCAAGTTTTGGTGTTAGATTCTGGCTCCCTGAACCCCAAATAATACCTAAACCTTAAACTCCGTAAGCCTTCGGGTTCTTTCTGGAGGCTGCCTCACGACATGGCCGCAAGAAAAAAAGATCCTAGGGTGCCTGCCTTAGGGACCCCGAGAGCCCAGTCGAAACAAGGATGCCCAACCTCTCTGGAAGACTCCAAAATAAGCATAAGTTGTCCGTTCAAGAAGAAAGGTATCACCCTAAAACCCTAAACCCTAAACCCTAAACTCTGAACCCTTAACCCTTAACCCTAAACTCTAAACCCTAAACCCTTAACCCTAAACTCTGAACCTTAAACTCTAAACCCTAAACCCTTAACCCTAAACTCTGAACCCTTAACCCTTAACCCTAAACTCTAAACCCTAAACCCTTAACCCTAAACTCTGAACCCTTAACCCTAAACCTTAAACCCTACACCCTCAACCCTCAATCTCCCCTCAATTACTTGCCATTCTGTGGATATGGTCGCAGCCGAATTCTGCCAAGTAGGCCCCCATGCGAATGTGAAGACCCTTGAAAGATCAGGCTGCTGTCGGGGTCTGAAAGTCTTAAAGCTAATAAAGGGGCCATAATAAGTAGAATAAGGCTATAATATAGGGGCCGTAATAATTAGAATAAGGCTAATATAGGCACCTTAATAATTAGAATAAGGCTCTGGGGCCCAATGTACTATAGTTAGAGAATGGGACCTCGGCCTTTGGACCGACAGTGCCAAGTTTTGGGTTCAGGGATGTGAGCTTTCTTGGAGGATCATGGGACTTAGTAAGTAGAGTCCTTATGGGGTACCTTAAAGGGCTCAAAAAGAGATCTATAGGGTTTAGGGTTTAAGGATCATTGGACTTAGAAAGTAGGGTAATAAGTATCTTAACTTGGGTTAGAAGTAATTGTAACTATAGTTACCTTACTTACAACCCTAGTTACTAAGTCCCATGATCCTTTAAGTTCAGCTCCGGACACGTGCTTTTCTATAGAGTTAAGGACTAGGCAATGGATTTCCAAGACTTCAACTCCAAAGCCACACCGGCATTCACATCAACAACCCTGAATCCCTACCCCCCCTCTCTCAAAATGCCTCCTGAACCCACAAACCTGCAAGTCCCAAAGCCCCAAACTCTCTGAAACTCCCGATCCCAAACCTTTGGGGCCGGGACTAGAATAGGGTTTTGGGGGTATAATCTGCTATTGCTTGAATAGGGAGCTAAGGACTACATGACCATTACGTGTGTAGGATGTTGTACAGCAGGAGCTTTGCTTTGAGCCATGGTGGCCCACTGCCCCTTCTCTTCCTCTTGGGAGGCGTTGCTGGACACACCCTGCACATCGACAGTCATCCCTAACCCCCAAACTAAACCGGTTGCAGAATGTAGGATACAACCATTAGCTTAAGGTCTCCTGTGCAACTAAGGTTTAGAGGTGCAAGCTCCAGGCTCCAGGCCATTTCTGGCTTCAAGGTTTCAAAGGGGGTTACTTTGGGGCTTGAATACGAGTAGGGCTAGGCGTTGTAGATGAAAATACACTCAAATTCAGGAACACTAGGGCCCAAGCAGGCCCATTCACGAATGCTCCAAGCCATTGGGCGCTTGGATCTCTAGTGCCATGGCGAACATAGGCTTTGGGGGTGGGGCTCAGGGGTCTTTACGAACAAGCACAGGCTGCGAAGACTACAGCATGTTAGTAAGTAGGTGGTAAGTAGACTGAAAAGTACCCTACAAAAGGAACCCTAATTGGGGTTGTAGTACTTATAAGTCCCGAATGTCCCTAAAATAACCAGGCATAGTACTCTGTCAATGTTCGCAAGATCGATGTCAACGCCGTGCAGCCTACGTGTTATCTACAGGGTGTGCGAAGGGTGCACAGACTGCCGAAGAAAGTCATGGAGTCGCTAATGGTGTGCCACTTCTCTTTTCGGGACCAGGGCCAGCTGACATCTGAATGCGAGGCGCTTCAAATACGCGATACCAAAGACCCCCACAAAGATGCACTTAAGGGTTGAAGGGTTTCAGTTCAACTTGCCAACCCGGCCCTAAGCCCTAAGCTTCCTGCCCAGCTGCCTGCCGGTAAGACTCTGCATGTTGGGATCGACCTAGCTGCATGCAGGAAAGCTGGTCCTCGTCCTGGCAAGTAGGATGTATGTATGTGCATATATGTACCTATCTCTATATACACACGAAAATTGAAATATACATATACACACACTACAGTACAGATACTCTATTCTATTCTGTATTCATACATAGAGAGAGAGAGATAGAGAGAAAGAGAGAGAGAAAGAGAGAGAGAGAGAAAGAGAGAGAGAGAGAGATGGAGATCGTTGAGACTCGAACCATTATTCCCCAAATCCCTGAAGCGCTGCGGCCCAAAGGATCTTCTGCCTTACAACGCTACTCCGCTGGGACGTGAAAGGCGAGCTCAAGAGCAAAAACATAAAATCTGGGTTTAGGATTTAGGGTTAATGCCTCCACAACCCCGAAAACTCCAAGCCACACGCGGAACGTCCCCGCCTGACAAACGCCCAAACCCAACGGTTGGGGCTCAGGGCTCCGGGGCGTTACAAATTGGTTAGGGCTTGGGGGTGAGGTCCCGACTCCGTGATGACGAAAAACGCCAAGCCCAAGCTCCAATACCCAAGTCAAAATACCGAGAGCCTGAATCCTGAACCGAGAGGGCCCTAGCCCTCAACCAAACCCTGCCCCCAAAATACCTCCGGGCCCAGAGGAAGTGCATCCTGTTTACTAACCCTTCCATTGCAGCTTTGATCCCCGTCATCCCAGTCCTTCTTTGCAGACTCCGGGCCGTTGAATTCATGCTCCGGCACCCTGGGCATGACAAGAAGCTCAGGATTTAGAAATTCAAAGGGGAAAAGGAGGGACCCTTAATGGGGACCCCTACCCTATAATGGGCTATATAATGGGTATATAATAGCTATATTAAGGGTATATCCCTAAGGGTCCATATTAAGGGTCCCTCCTTTTACCCTTGGGAACATAGTGTTTGGGACTCTCGGGCTTTCAGGGCTGGTTTTGTTGGGGGTTGCGGGTTTAAGGGGATTTCGGGGGCTGCATTTTGTCGGTGCTTTCTTTGGCATCTATGCCTGTGGTTAGGGTTTCGGGATTCCGGGATTCAAGATCGAAGGTTTCCGGGGATCTGCAAAAAATCAAGGTCTATATAAACAGGGCTCATTCGGACGAGGGATTTTAAAATCGGGGACCGTAACATAGCACCCCAAATAGTAGGATCCTTATTATGACCAGGAACCCCTAACTTTCGGAAACTCTAAACCCTAAACCCTAGCACCCTTTATAGAACCCTTATAGTACCCTTATAGTCGCCCCTTTAAAGGAACCCTAAAATACCCCTAGTTTTCGGATTCAAGGCCTTGGGTTGAAGCGGCCGACCTGGAGACTCTCTGCAGCGGCCCAGGGCTCTTCGATTCAGGGCCCAGGTTTTTTTGGGCTTAGGGGTTTAGGTTTTTTTGGGTTTAGGGTTTAAGGTTTAGGGTTTAAGGGTTTAGGGTTTAAGGGTTTAGGGTTTAGGGTTTAGGGCTTTTTGGGGTTCAGGTCCTCTTCGATTGCGTTGCGTGCAGTGAGAAAGGGCTCAAGTCCGTGCAACCCCAGACGCATCCCCCAATGCCTCCTGTGAAAACCGGTGGCTGTTGAAGGGCCTAAGAGTACGGATCTCCCCGAGTGCCGAAATGTCAACACATCACAGCGGCCCGGTGATAGATCTTAAACTGAATCTAATCCTGTTGGCAAAACTCCGAGCCCCCGACGCCACCGCACAGCCGGCGAGGGCGCATGCAAGAGCGGCAAGACACCGCATTGCTCACGGGCGTTTTCCGCACCAAGGGGGGGAAGGATCAGAAGAGCCTTCCCCCCCAAACTTCCCCCACAACACCTGACCTTGTAGCCTGCTCATGCCTTCATACGAATTGCTTCTTCGCCGGAACAAGGGTAGAGCTACCTTGAAGAGGGGACGTGTCCCCTCTGAGCCGCGGTAAGCAGGCAAGGTTTCGGAGCGTTCGCAGGTAAGGTTTCGGCTTAGGGGGCGATTGAGCAGCGAATCCTCAACTTCGAAAAACCAACTTTCAGTCAACAGCCAAAGAGCTCTCAATCCAGAAATCCTGCACCAGCATCCCCAAACTCAGCTAATCCAGGCTTTAGGGTTTAGGGTTTAGGGTTTAGGGTTTAGCCAGGATTGGCTCAGAGCCCCTTCTTCCTGAAGGTCACTGGGCTTGGGAGGTTGTTTCGGCATCGAATTCCCAAATCCCTAAATCCCCACTCTGAGCTAAGACGCGAAGGCTCCAGGCCACTCTTGGCTAGGCCCTAAAACCTAAAAGCTTAACCCCGAACCCCAAACCCTAAACCCTAAACCTTTAACACCGAACCCCAAACCCTAAAGCCCAAACCCTAAACCTTTAACCCCGAACCCCAAACCCTAAAGCCCAAACCCCGAACCTTTTACCCCGAACCCCAAACCCTAAACCCCAAACTCAGAACCTTTAACCCCGAACCCCAAACCCCAATGCCCTTCAATCCCCGAACCCTAAACTTGACAGGATGCTACCTAAACGGGAGAGCCTCCAAGATGGTGGGTGGACCACGCTCCCCTTCGATGATGTTGATCATCTCGTTCCTGCTGGAGGTTTTCAGTCATTTGGGGTTGAGGGTTTAGTAAAACTTTTGGGTGGGTTTAAAGGATTAAAGGCCTGAGGGGCTTACATATTCCTTTGAGGGTTTGAGGTTCAGGGCTACGATTTCTCGTTCCTGCCTTAGCGCTTCAGGCTCTTGGGAATGCAGGTTTGGGTTTTGAGAGCCCGCACAATTTACTGCGTTTTGGGGCTCCGGTCGCTTCGCGCACACTTAGGATCGAAGGGCTGGGACCTAAAGTAGGGGCCTAAATAGTTACCTATACTGTTCCTCATTATTGTTGTAGTACAATGGGCCCCAAAACCCTATTCTGATTATTCGGCCCTGCTTTGCCGGGGCCTCCAGTCAAAGCTGCGGTAGAAGAGCATGAACTCTTTGAGCAGCTGTGAAGTAGGTTCTGAGCAGCGAGCTTTGGAGCGTTTGGGTTTTTTTCATTTTTGGGTTTAGGGTCGAGGGATGAGGGCTTGGACCCTGCACCATACATCCTAAGTCCTAAACCCTGAACGGCTTGGGGCTTTGGGGCTTTAGGCTGTAAGCAGCGTGTACCCAAAGCATAAGGACATTCAAAGCAGAACCCAAAATCCAAGCCCTTTACCACTCTAGGCATTCAAAGCCTGAACCACTAGCAAGAAGACGCCCGCCGTCCTGTGCTCGACTTTGGGGAAGGGCGGGGACCTCGCTGAAGCCCTGGCGGCCTCGCAAGAAACGGCCGGGAAACGGAGGAGTTCGTAGAACTTCGAAGTGTGGGGCTGAGGGCTCCAAGGTTTTGGGCTTTGAGTTTACGGTTGAGGGCTCTTGTTGCTTGAAGGCCCTTCTTTCGCCTGCAAGAGATCTTTGCTACGGTTGAGGGGTTTAGGATTCAAGGGTTACGGCTCAGGGTTTAGGATTCAGGGGTTATGGATTAGGGTTAAGGGTTCAGGGTTTAGGGTTTGGCATGGCGGATCTGCGCCTAGGGTTTGGGACATTTTGGCTTAAGTCAAAACCCGACAAGTTGGATGGGCCTAGAGACCCGAGACCAAAAGCACCAAAAACATGGACAAGCCACAAATCCACCAAAAATCCAGTCAGACCCCCTGAAACCCTAAACGCTAAAACCCGAAACCCTAAACCCTCAACCCCCAATCCCTAAACCCCTAAACCTTAAGCCTCGAAACCCTAAACCCTCCACCCATAAACCACAAACCCCGAAGCACCCCTGCCCCGGGCACCCCTGCGAAGAGGTGAGGTCGCAGAAGGCCCGGAACTGCTGCAAAGGAGGCAGCACCGGGATCTCAAGGCGTCAGGGGTTTAAGATGGAAAAAAGGGTTTAGGGTTTAGGGTTGGGTTTTAGGTAGATGGCTTAAGGGGTTTAGGGTTTAAGATGGAAAATGTGGAAAAAAGGGTTTGGGTAGATGGCTTAAGGGGTTTAGGGCTTAAGATGGAAAAAAGGGTTTAGGTAGATGGCTTAAGGGGTTTAGGGTTTAAGATGGAGAAAAGGGTTTAGGTAGATGGCTTGAGGGGTGTAGGGTTTAAGATGGTTTACTTGGAGGATCATTGGACTTAGTAAGTAGTTTATAAGCACCTTAACTTGGGTTAAGTAATTACAACCATAGTTACCTTACTTATAACCCCAGTTACTAAGGCTCGTGGTCCTTTAAGTAAAGGTTTAGGTTTACAATCTATCATGGTGTTTAGGAGTGCAGGGTTTGATAATTCAGCATTCAAGGGTTTAGGATTTAGGACTTAAGGTAGAAGTTCCAGCACCTTCCTGCTAAGGTTTATGAAACGCCTGCTGTACCGTGTATGAGGATTCTTAAAGAGTATTATGACAGAGTCAGGGTCCTTGGTGGCTAGGTGCTGGGATAGGCGCCTCCATAATTAGGTAGGGTTTGGCGGATGTTATAGCATACTCACTTGGAGGATCATGGGACTTAGTAAGTAGGGTTATATTCACCTTCATTGGGGTTGTACGTACTTATAACTGTAGTTGCCTTACTTATAACCCCAACTACTAAGTCCCATGATCCTTTAAGTAGACCCTAAACCCTAAACCCTTATAGTACCCCTATAGATTCCCTTAACGGGACCCCTTGAGGACCCCAACTACTAAGTCCCATGATCCTTTAAGTAACTGTATTGGGACTCTACAGGGTTGGGCTCAGGGGCTTAGGGTTGCAGGGCGTGGATTTCCCAAGTCTAAAACTTTAACCTGCAACCCGAACCTGAAACCCCCTAAACCCTAAACCCTGGTTTGGGACTCCAGGTTCTGTTCCAACACACTTCAACATATGGGAGTTTCCGAAAAGAGGGGACCCTAATATAGTACCCTAAATAGTAGGATCCCTATTATAAGGATCCCAAAATAAGGCACCCCTACTTTTCGGAAACTCCCATTTCTGGATGCAGGTTTGCGGTTGTGAGTTCAAGAGCTTCGAGGTTCGGGCTTCCGGGTTAGGGTTTAGGGTTTAGAGGCTGTGGGGCTTCCTCGTTTCCACGGAAGGTTTTTGCATCGGGATCACAGAAGGCATGGCCCCTATCAATAGCGGGCCTAAGTCGAATAAGCCCTATGTGAATCCTAGGGTGCCAAACCCCAAACATGCAAACCCACCTCATCAAAACCCCTACAAAAAACAACTTAAAACATCCAATTCGGAACCCTTCAAGGAACTAGCGATTGCCAGAGTCTGAGGTCAGGGCCGATCCCTCTTCAGACATGCGCCTGACCTGACATTGGGTTTGGAGTTCAGGATTCTAGGGTTGGGGGATGTAGCGTCGTAGGAATATGTTCCGGCACTAAGGGTTCATGTTCTAGAGCGGCGTTCAGGACTGAAGTACTTTAGTGGGGGCCTCAGCATGGCTCGTCGCATGCTCGTTGCAGTGCTGATACTGGACACCAGAGCACGGAAAGCAGGAAAAGCAATTCCACTGCCATCAACGCAGTGTAAATCCACGTAACCGGAACCAGCATAACCACAACGGTGCCGATGCTTACCGTGTAATATGATAGTGTTGGTGGTACCAAGCATGAAAGCCATCGTCGTCGTCACAAGCATCCACCGTCATCATCATCACCACCACAACGCTACCGTTGCCCCTCACCATCATCATCATCATGAATCATCACCATGAAACATAAGCACTACCATATTCACGTCACGACCTTCCTGCCGCTGTCAACCTCTCGTCGTCACCATCACTGGACATGCAGGAGATAAATTTAAAGGTTCGATTTTTTTTTACTCAATACATACATCAGTAGCCATGGCACGAAAAGCTAGCTCAACAAGGACGCAAAAGAAATGAAACTGTCAAATCGACACTGATTTCTGAACCCTAAACCCGAAAAATAAACAAATCTGCCGAAAGTCGGAGACCCAGGAGTTCGCAATGCCGAAATTCCGCAAACTCAAACCTTCAACATAAATCTTGAGCCTGAACCTGAACCATAGTCTTACATATTATACGACGACCTCGCACCCGAAACCCCCAAACCCTTCACCGCGAGGCATGAACTGTCTGGACCCTGACCTTGATCCTCAATTTCCGCCCGTTTCTCTTGAGAGGAATGGCCTGCAGGAAGAAGATCACCAGCAAACTCCAGTGGTAGGGCGAGAGGTAACCTGCGGTTGTAACGAGATTCGGTCGGAAATGTTGAGAGTTTACGATTTAGGATTCGGGATGATGATCGCTCGAATCGATTCTGTGATGTTCGCGTGCTTGTGCGTAGGAACACCTCGGCCCTAGGCAGTAGCTGGAGTGCGACTGATTGCAGAGCTTGGGTCTGAGAAGCGGCATACCCCACATAGGGTTTACGGTTGTGTCTAAACGTCTTTGGGGCTTTCTCCACTGCAGCAGGTCCGGCCTCACCCGCGCATGAGAGCTCACACTCAAAACAGGCTACCAAGCACATGATCCATAACAGGAGCTCGGGAAAAAGAAAACAGATCTCTGCAACTAAGTAGTGCCATGCGTGCTCTTTGCCCATGGCCTTTCGCTGCGTGGCAGATGCCACGATCCTTCGCCCACCGCCTCACCTGGCTAAGAAAAGTAGTTACATTGTCAGCATCACTGTTAGCAAGGTATCAATCTGTTTGGTTGTAAACCTTACTTAGGTATGGTGCTGACTAAGTCACTAGCCTGGATATTGCCCTGACCTGTTGTTGTTGCTGCCCTGTTTTCGTTCTGCGTGCATGGCTTGGTCATTCCAGTCGAGATAAGCCTCTCCTTTTGGAGACGTAATTCTGAGGTCGGATTATCTCCAGGTTCTGCGGCAATCTCTTGGGCTTTATCGGAGCGGCTTAAGGTGAAAGACCACTGAAAAAGCGAAGATGCCGTGCTCTCCACATACAGCTTTCTTCGCTACCCCCCGTTCACCAAATTGCCAAACGCAACGGCTGTCCCGCAAAAGATGCAGGATGGCTGACGATGTACGGCTGAGACCTAAACCCAAAACGATTCGCCGTCTGCATCATCTTATCTCTGTCTGAACCTGTCTTTCCCTCGAAGAGGGTTCTTCCGGAGGGATGAATCCGTAACCCCGACCCCTAACCCGAAGCCGCAACGAAGCGCCAGGCCACAAGGAGTATCAGCTGCTTCGCTCGTGGATCCAGCTGCCCACATTCCGCCAGAAGCCTGACTTTCAGTTCTTTGCGAAAACGCAAAGCAAGCTAGGTGTCTTCAGAATGGCGGCGATGCTTTTTCAATGACTTCAACAATTTGTATTATACCAATGTAAGTATTGTAAAATAGTATATACTAAAATATTATTAGTGCTTGTACTTCAGCTTGATCATAAATCCTGACAAACCTGTGAGGTCTGAGGCGTTTGTCTTCGATTTTGTCTCCGAGGCTTTGGGGCCTTCAGGCTCAGAATCTTAGGGTTCAGGGTTTAGGGCTTAGGGCTTAGGGTTTAGGATGGTTTAGGGTTTAGGATGGTTTAGGGTTTTGGATGGTTTAGGGTTTTGGATGGTGTAGGGTTTTGGATGGTGTAGGGTTTTGGATGGTTTAGGGTTTAGGATGGTAGTTTAGGGTTTAATTAGCATGGTTTAGGGTTTAGGGTTCAGGGCTTAGGGCTTAGACTTCAGGTTTTCAGTGCTGTGAGCATATCGACTATATCGACTCTCATCTTTACGACTCCCTGCGGACGAAGAGCGCAGCATTGTAGAGAGGCGTCTCTGCATTTACCTCAAGTCCGCGACTCTCCGAGCTTTGGGCTTAAGAGCCTACTATAGGCGCCTTAGCAACTACCTTTAACTATTTTGGGAACTCCTTTTTGTTGAAGTATTAAGGGCCCAAGAGCCTGTTCTAATTATTTAGGCCCTATATTACCTGTAACCCGAAAAGAACATGCTTTGATTAAGCACATCGAACAGCAAGTCAAGTCCATTTTGCCAACCCGCCAACTGTCTAGCAGCTCAGAAGACCCTTGTGGATCAGGAGTCGGTTAGGGCTTCAAGGCTCGAGCTGCTTCTGTTTCGGTTTAGATTTTAGGGTTTAGGGTTTAGACTTTAGGGTTTAGGGTTTAGGGGTTTAGACTTTAGACTTCAGGGTTTAGGGTTTAATGAACCCCGAACCCTCGAGGGTAAAGGGCCCAGCGTCTCGGGGCTTCGAGCGATTTGCAGTTTCAGGGTCGGGCTCTCAGTTGCGAATGTCAGGCTCGTTCAAGCAGTATAGGGTTTAGGGCCATCACGGTTTAGGCCTTTAGGGTATAGAGTTTACGGTTTACAGTAGATCTGGGGCTTTGGGGCTTTAGGGTTGTAGTGATGTTTACACCCCGATAAACGCCAACCCATGAATCTTGGAGTGGAATTCGGCGTCTGCATAGTGATGTCTAGGGGTTCGAAGCATCCCAAGAGCCTAAACCCTGAACCCTTAAACCCTTAGACCCTAAACCCTAAACCCTGAACCCTCGAACCCCTAAACCTAAACCCTTAAACCGCTGAACCCCTGAACCCTTAGACCCCTAAACCCTTAAACCGCTGAACCCCTGAACCCTTAAACCCCTAAACCCTTAAACCCTGAACCCTAAACTCCAAGACCTAAGACCTAAACCCCAGAACCAGGGCTCCACTTGGTAGGGAGTCGCGCTTCAGAGGGCTGGGAGCCCTCAACCCCAAGGAGGGTCTCGTGTGACGGATCTACGGATAAATCTGCCTAAAGGACCATGGGACTTCATAATCGGGGATATAAGTAAGGTAACTACTGAAATATTTACTTATAGCCCCAATTAAGGTACTTAACACCCTACTTACCAAGCCCCATGATCCTCCAGGGGCTTCGCTGCATCTTGTCTTAAGCCCTAAACCGTCAGGCACTTGCAGTTTCAGGACAATTTCGAGTGGGGTGACTAGTTCAAATCGTGCTGATCTCGTTAAGGTGCCGATACTTCCAAGTACCCTTGAACCTGCCAAAGCTGAAAACCTCAAAGATCTACACCCTTGAGCCCTAAACCTACACCCTCGAACATTCAGGTAGTTGCCTAAATCATCAGAATAGGGTTTTGGGCATATTCTACAGTAGTTATGATAAGGAACCCTGAGGAATGATCTTGGTAATTATGGGGCCTGTTTTGGTACCCTAAATATTAGGTGCCGTAGTATAATAAGGACCCAACAAAAGGGGCCCTAACTTTGACAGCTACTCTATGTATTTAGGCTTCTACACCCTAAACCCTAAACCCTTAATAAGGACCCCTAGGTATATACCCTTAATATAGCCATTATGGACCCATTACATAGCCCAGGCGCTGAGATGTCAAGGGGAATCGCATCTGCGAAGGGCCCGAAGCTGGCAGGTGCCAGAAGCGTGAGCTTCGGCTCCTCCCCTGCAAAAAGAGCTTAGGGTTTAGGGCTTAAGGTTTACGGCTTAAGGTTTAAGGCTTAAGGTTTGGGGCTTAAGGTTTAGGGCGTAAAGTTTAGGGCTTCAGGTTTAGGGCTTAAGGTTGGGCCTTGGGTGTAGGGCTTAGGAGTTTAGGGTTTAGGGTTGAGGGTTGCGGGGCCCTGGATTAGGGCTGAAGGAGTTTTGTCAGATTTTCATCGGGTTTTGTAAGGTTCATGAGCTCCTGCAAGGGCTTGCAAGGACTCATGGGCTTGAGGGTTTTGCTGGTTTTATGGTTGAATCATAGTAGGCTTTGCAGAAGCGGGTTTTGCAAATTCGGAGGTTCAGCGGTTCAGAGATGCTCTTTGAAGGAATAAAGTACATGGCAGGGTCGAGGATATGACACAAGCCATATTGCATCTGTTGACACGAAATTAATTACACAAGGTCTTTCTAGCTTCAGCACGACCATGATAGCACGGAAGCCCACGAGCGTCACGGCCCTGAAGACCTCTTACCCCTAAACCCTGAGCCCTTGTGGTGCAAATGGCTGCGAAGATGGCGACAGCACAGTTGATTTCCATGGTCACGACGACTACCCAGCGCGGCACCCAAGTCTGCGGTCCCATTTACGAGATGGCTCATCTGGAACCTCTTCAACCTATCCCCTGAAGCCCTGAACCCGCTGACCTACACCCAGGCCTTGAAGCCTCGAGCTCTCCTAAGAAGGCCCTTAGGAAATCCTAAAACACTTGTAAGAACACCATTGCAAAACCCTAGAGAGCTTCCTACAGCACCCGATGAGGACCTCTATAAAGACCCTACAATAAAAGACCCGTATAAGACCCGGTAAAAGTCTAAAACCTGCAGTAAACCCAAACCCAGACCTCGAAAGGCGGAGCGCCGGAATTTGAAGCCGCAGGAAGCAACGAGAGCCTCGCCCAAGCATGAAATCTCGTGGGTTTAGGGTTTCCCACAGCTCCTACCAGCAACCTGACGTCCCTACATGCCAGGTCTCCCCTACAAGCGATTCATGAGCCTCTTAGAACGCCACTAAGCCCCTTACAAACCCTACAACAACCTTCAAGGCTTCAGGGTCCCATATCCCGAGTGGAGGGCGTCCATGCTGCAACATCACAGGCCTTGGTGGGATTTCCCCGATGTATTCCGGTGGTGTTTGCAAACCAACGCAACCAGTCCTCCGCCCCTGATCCCTCAGCAAAGAGAACTCTACCTGCTGAACCCTCAACAACTAGCAGCCCCAACCCTGAAAGCCCCCATATAACTAACCCCCTGAACCCGAGATCTCCTGGTCACTTGAAACCCGAGATCTCCTGCCTCTGCCACCATGCGAATGGCTGCCTCGCAGGTGGAGACTTCGGGGTTGCATGCCCTTGGCTTTCGGGTAGCACAACCTGCCGGAACTAATAGGCAATCAGACCCCTGGGGTGCGGGTGCTACTCCAGGTCACGGGAACCGGTACACTTTCTCCTCAAAAGCCAACCGAATTCAACAACCCGGCCGAGCAGAAAACTCCTGGTCACTACAAGTGCCTTCTCGAGCTGGCGGGTGTCCATCTTCCTCCGGTGCAATGCACAGGGGGTGAGAAGAGCCAGGGAAACTTCGCGGTCTTTGGGGCTTTGCGTGATGTGGGACGCTGTGTATAGTGACTTGAACATGATGGACGTGGTTTCCCAGAGAGCCCAATACCCCTTCATTAAGGAATATAGCTTAAATCATAATATTAAGCCCCTAATGATTTAAGGAATATTCCTTAATTAAGGGGTATTGGGCTCTCTGGGTTTCGGGCAAAAATCATGCCATGGGCTCTGGTCGCTATTCTGGCTGGTTTCAGCAGGAACGAGGAGGATTTGCGGTATCCTCTGCCTGGCCATCCGTAAGCATGTGCATCAAGATGATGACCTCTGCTACGCGAATCTATGAGGTATTGCATGGCAATATGTAAGACCTGGATATATACTTACCGATAAAGGCTCAGGCCGTGAAGGCGTGATTGATATTCCCGCGCTGCTAGATGACATGAAGGTTCACGGCTGCATTGCCACACATCTTTGTCCATCTGGCTCATGCACTTGCAAGGTCCGTTCGGCTGTAACTTCGCGAGCAGACAGCCAGCCAGAACGCTCCAGTCGTTTCCGTACGCCTGGCCCTCTTGACAAATAGGCCGACCCCGTCAAGAAGTAGTCCAGGCTCAGGGGTGCTCAGGGTTGTGGCTTGAGAAGACCAGGATTACGTGCGTTTTGAGGCTCTGGGCGCGCGAAAAAACTCAACGCTTCAGTAGTCTCAACCCAAGCGCTTGAACAACCCTAAACCCTAAACCCTAAACCCTAAACCCTAAACAACCAACACGAGCATATGGAGTCCTGGAACCCGCCATCTCCAACCCTGGATTCCCTGTGTCCTGGTTACACCCCTGCCCGGAGCTCCAAACCCAACAGAAGTACCGCCAAAGGTCGGGTCCAAAGGTTGGGTGTGGGGTTTCAGGCCCCCTAAAACCCAAGTTTCTACTTTTCCGGCTCTCAAGGTAGGGTTTATGGAACCTAAAACCCAAGTTTCTATTTTTCCGGCTCTCAAGGTAGGGTTTAGGGAACCTAAAACCCAAGTTTCGGGCGCCCTTGCGCGCCTCTCCGTGGCAATTCGGCTTTGGAGCTTCTGGCGCAGCTTCTCCGGGCTGACCGAGAGAACGATCTCCTCGGCACGGAAAGGGTGGGTTTGCGTTAAGGTTTAGGGTTTAGGCTTTAGGGGGTTTAGGGTTTAGGCTTTAGCAGGTTTAAGGTTTAGAGTTGAGGGTTTAGGGTTTAGGCTTTAGGGGCTTAGGGTTTAGGCTTTGGCGGGTTTAAGGTCTAGACTTTAGGGTTTGGGGCTTAGGGGCTTTAAGGCTCAGGGCCAAGGGCTCAGGGAGCTCTGGGAAACTCCGAAAGTTGTGGCCTGCTCAGGCTGAAAGATGGCATGCAGCGCTCCGCTTGAAGAGACAGCTTCGGATCCGACGATAGGGTGCAGGGCTAGCCCTAAACCCTAACTTAAAGGATCATGGGACTTAGTAACTAGGGTTATCATTAAGGTAACCATACTTATAACTACTTATAACCCCAATTAAGGTACCTAAAACCTTACTTACTAAGTCTCATGATCCTCCAAGTAGACCCTAAGGGTTTAGGATTTAGGGGTCCGCTGAGAGACGATCCGAAGCCCAAGCCGACAGCCGAAAAATCCTGCATCGAGGGGTAGTAATGTCCCAGAACATAACTATAAACCCTAAACCCTGCCCCCCCCCCAAAAAAAAATAAAAAATGACTTCCTAGATGCCTAAACCTTAGACGCTGCCCCCACCCTGTAATAGCGACTGTAATAGTGACTATAAGGATTATATTAGGGCCCTATTATATTCCTATTATACCACTATTACAGGGTGCGGGCCGCTTCTAACCTAAACCCCTAAGAACTTCGTTCCAGCCTCCATTTGGAAAGTGGCATGTTTGGGGGTTTCGGGGTTCTTATGCGGCGTCTGCCGGCTCAGTACTTCGACGAGCTTCGGGGCTCCGGGGAATTAGGGTTCAGGGTGTCAGATTTACCCTATTTTAGGGTTTAGGGTTTAGGGTTTAGGGTTTAAGGTTTAGGGTTTAGGGTATAAGGTTTAGGGCCAAAACTAACCCTAAACCGAAAGCCTTCGCCCGGAACTCAAATTTAACCCTAGCGGGTTCAGAGTTTTGGGCTCAGGACGTGATCTGCAGTTTGCCGGAAGCCCAGAACAGCTTTGAAGGGATCTGACTTCTCCGCTACCCTAGAACCCGGTAGTCTTAAAAACTAAACCCTGAAACTCAAGAACCCTAAGCAGCGGAACCCTAGAACCCTCGAATCGTATAGAGAACCCTGCTAAAACCTTATAAAATGTTACAATCCTTTCGAAAGTCCTCATAGATGCAATAGAACCAAAAACCCGGCAACCCTAAACCGGTACAGAACCCTGATAAAAACAATCCTTGAAGGCACCTGACAAAGATGCAAACCTATGGAGCGCTAAACCCTGAAAACCAAGAAGAGCCTCAGCAACACCCCAACCCTAAACCCTAAACCCTAAACCCTAAACCCTAAACCCTAAACCCTAAACCCTAAACCCTAAACCCTAAACCCTAAACCCTAACCTAAACCCTAAACCCTAAACCGTGACACCCCAAGAAACCCTAGAGTCCCCGAAAGAAACCTCAAGCCTAAACCCTAAACCCGCCTAAAGGGAACTCCAGAAAGTTGGAATATGGTTTTAGGGTTGGATACCTTATAACTTACCATAAAGGGTTTAGGATAATCATATTCCAACTTTCTGGCTTTTACTTTAAAGCCTCGAAAAAGTCCCAAGGGCGACGTCCGGCACGGCCACCCGGAAAGCCCTACCGGAGCGAAGATTTCCTCGGCAGTTCAGAGTTGCCTTCAGGATTTTATAGCACGGCTTCTAGGGTTTATAATCAAAGCCTACAACAATCTAGGGTTTGGTGTAGGATTTCAAGATTTAGGGTTCAGGGTTAAGGGATCGGAATAAGGCTCCTTTGTCAGGGTTCTGCAAGCACCATACGAGTTCAATTTAAAAAGGTGTCTGTGGGGGTTACAATGATAGCAGGCCTCGTTTTTCAAGTCTTCTTTAAGGGGTTCACAGGATTTTACAGGTGTTCTTGATATTTTGTAGGGTTTCCAGGTGGTTTTACGTTTCCTATACGGGCCTCAAGAACTTGAAGAGGGGCTCCCAAGGTTTTCTTGAGGCTTCCGTAAGGGTTCATTTTATATACAAAGGTCCTCCTCCAAAGTCTACGGGTTGATGCACGCAGGTGCATAAAGACCCGCACGTGAATTTTGGGATGGGTGTGTCTGCTTGGAGTTTAGGATGAAACGTTAGGGTATTTGCTTAAGCACCACCTATGTTAGGTCAGAAGCAGTTACAACTATTCCTGCGCTTATGGCCCTTGCAAGCACCATGGACCAAAGGGATCCTGACGTAAACCTATAGCCTCCTTGCTACCTAAACCCTAAACCCCTAAACCCTAAACCCAAAACCCCTAAACCCTAAACCCAATGCCCTAAACCCTAGCCCTAAACCCCCAAACCCGAACCGAGAGTGAGGATTCCCCTACTTTTGCAAAAGGCCCCTTCGTGACACGGCGAGCTGCCATGGACGAATCCGCAGGCGTCCAGGTCGGGGAAGATCGGGAGGATCGTCTCGCGGACCTTGAATCATCGGGACACTTAGGGGGGGGGTAAGGGGGTAAGGGTAGGGGACTTCCTAAAACAAGCCTTATTAAGACCCCTTCTAAGACACCCTTATGATTGAGTGCAAATCTTCGGAGTTTAGGCTTTTTGGGGTTTGGGTTTAGACTCTGGGGCTGACTTAGAGATTGGGGTTTATTGCCTTTGAGGTTTTAGAGTCTGGAGCTTCGGCAGCGGACTTCTAGGTTTCGTATGAATACAGCTGGCGTGTGCATATAGAGACATACAGAAGAGCCTGTGTTGATTCGTTCATTCATGCATACACTCACTGCCTCACTCATTCATTCATTCGTTCGTTCATTCATTCCGTCATTCCTTCATGCCGTCATTCCTTTATACCTTCCTTCCTTCATTCATTCCTTCCTTCCTTCATTCCTTCATTCCTTCATTCCTTCATTACTTCATTCCTTCATTCCTTCATTGCTTCATTCATTCGTTCATCTCCTTCATCTGAATCTGTTATCTTGGCCTGTCTTCTATTTACTTGCTTACCGGCTTATCTAACTAGCTGCTTATTCACATGTACATGCGACGCAGGGGTGTACGGCCGATGCGTTTTCAGTTCTGGAAGCACTGAACCAACAACCGAAGACACATCAAAAGACGAGGCGCGACATCCACCAAGCGGGAAACCGTGTCTTCACTTTCGGCATTGGGTGAGATCTGCCCGAGCAGCTCCGACACATCGGACTGGCGATGGATTCAACTAGGGTTCAAAATGCAATAAAGGGGCCTGAATATTTCGAACAGGGTGTTGGGGCCCATTATACTATCATTGCAATAAGGAGCCCCCCAAAATAGTATTGATAATTTTTTTGGATCAGGGAATAGGCGAGGGTTGACAAGTGTAGCTCGTGCTGATCAGAGTCTGTGCTGAGAGGGCTGGCCAGCAGTACAGTAAAACCAAGTCCTAAATCTTCAGCCTGGGTATATGCAATATGCTGCTAGGCGACAGCCAAAAGGAAGAAGTTGGAACCACGGCCCTCAAAACCTAAACTCTAAACTCTAAACCTTACAAGACGAGGAAGCCTCGATCCCCAATACCGACTGCGAAGTTCACTTTACAAGTCATTGCACTTCAGTGCGTAGGGTTTTTCTTGTGCGGCTTACGAGCTTGGGGCTTGCTGTTTAAGACTTTCTCGTCTTGGGATGCTGACACGGCCGTTTGCGGAACAATGACTGTCCCCCCGCCCTGGGCCGCGATCCATGGCTACACCAGACCATGTAGTCCACAGACTGCGGTGAAACACTTCGCCAGCCTCCCAGCACTGACCGCTGAGCACCGGGGGCCAAATGCTGGATGCCAGTGCCTGTACAGGAGCAGACGTAGCAGTAACACACCGCGCATGTCAACAATCGTACGCCCTCACGGAAACCCAGGAACCCCAAACCGAGACCTTAAACTGCAAGCACCACACTTGAGGGTAGGTTTGGTTTCAGTGCTTTGCATCCCCCACACCCAAGCTCCCCTCACACATGCACACAACCCCGCAAGCTTCGGGTTTAGGGCTAACGGTTTAGGGTTGAGGGCTTAGCGGTTCGGATTTGGGGGGTGTAAGATAGGATCACTGGGCTCACCGAAAACACCGGAACAATGTTCAAACCCTGCAAACTCGTTCTGCAGCCCCTCAACCTGCTGACTTAAGTGCCTTATGAAGCCCTCATCAAACCACCCTGCAAAGTCCGTACCCTTAAAGCAAAAACGATAGCAATCACCTTCATACCTTCTAACACCTTATCTAGAAACCTGATCGAAACCCTGTAAAAGCCATCGACGCGCCCCCGAAGCCACCCCAAAACCCCCCCAACCCTAAGCCCTAAACTCCTAAAGCCCTAAACCCTAAACCCTAAGCCCTAAACTCCTAAAGCCCTAAACCCTAAACCCTAAGCCCTAAACTCCTAAAGCCCTAAACCCTAAACCCTAAGCCCTAAAGCCCTAAAGCCCTAAACCCTAAACCCTAAGCCCTAAACTCCTAAAGCCCTAAACCCTAAACCCTAAGCCCTAAAGCCCTAAAGTGTGCAGTATCTGCAGATGTGTTTTCTGATAATCTTGGGGTGGTCCAGGGTTTTAGTTTGTTGCTTAAACAAGGTTGGGTGGCGGATCGCTTCCTCCAACTTGCAGAAACAGAGCTATGGTGGGCGATTTGGTCCATAATCCGCCATAAGCGGCAGGGATGGACGATCACTCACGTGCATTCCCACACCAAACCGTGGCAGCAGACTACTTCTTTCTTGAAATGGTGTGCCTTTCATAATGATAGAGCTGATCATGCAGCCAAGCGCGCCCAGAAGAAATGGACAAATGAACAGGAAAACATTTTCCGTGCCGCTGTGTCCGCTGCAAATACACAACTTCTGAAAGCTCACCGTGTTTTCAAATTCCAGGAAGATGTAGTTAAGACTACGCAGACGCGAGTTGAGCCGTCTTCGGGAAATATTGCGAACGCACAAGGGCCTGAGGTGGAGCCCGCCCGTACATACGGTCAATCGTCGGCTAAATTGCTCGTTGCAGTGAGGGGGCAAAGCATGCCATCACCTGTCGAATTTCAAGACGGCCTCCTAGGTCCTAGGTTTCTGTGGGTGCTGCAAACGTTTATAAGGGATCAGGAGTGGGTCCAGTCAGATGAGGCGATGTCCCTTTTGGAAGTGTATGTCCTTTTCGTGAAACGGACAGGTTGGTTGTCACCGCAAAATTTGGCGGCTCTCCCCCCTGGAGTTCGCCCACCTAGTTTAGCCAAGTGCAAGTGCGCATCTCTCTTCTTGACGGAAGTGGATTATCCAGCACTTCGTGTTTGCAGGCAACCGCTCGGCAAACAAACGACTACTTTCTATCATGCTATGAAGTTTTTGGCGAAACGCCACGGCATTGAATTTCAATTGAGCAGGTCTAAGTCTTTGGCGGTTTATGGTTGCCACGAGATGGTTCCTAGTCTGTCTTTAGTGCCACGCTGTCTCAGACCGGCGGGGCAGTCACCGGTCCATCCGTTGTTAGGTGCTTGGAAATACTCGAGTGCCATGAGAAATGTTTTTGGCCCAGATAAGGAGCCTATGGAGTGTCCGATAGCGTACGTGTCCCCACAAGAGGTGTGGAACAATTATTGTAAAGGTGGTCGGTCCCGTCGCCGTGCGAACGCAGGCTAATTCGTAATTTGTACATCTAAATCTTCTGGCTAAGGATCCAGGCGTCGCTCTCGCTCGGATTGTCTGCTGACTGCTTGCATAAAGCCCTAAAGCCCTAAACCCTAAACCCCGAAGAAACCCCAAAGGCCTCGGTCGTTGCGGGTTTGGCCGCGGGGATCTGCTTCGGAGCCGACAAGGCCTGCCTAGCAGCCAGGCTCCGAACCTGCAGGACTCCAGGGGTTCAGGGTTTAAGGTGTCAGGGTTTAAGGCTTAGGGTTTAGGGCTTTGGGGTTTGGGGTTTAGAGTTTGGGGCTTAGGGGTTTAGGGTTTGGGGCTTAGGTTTTAGAGGTTTAGGGTTTACGATTTAGGCTTTCGGCTACGAGCTCGGCGATTAAGTTTTCGGATTTTTAGCGCCTCAGGGGTTTAGGGCTTAAAAGCACTGAAGTTGCACCTGGGATCGTCACACATGCATACATAACATAGCATACCACCCCATGGCATAACATGCCATGCCATACTAGATCAAGCCCGAGCTTCATGGGTTGGGGTTCAGGGTTTCTCGTTTAGGGCTTGCAGGCCATAGGCTTAAGCAACGGGGTTTAGGGTCGGTATAAGGCTTGGTGCCCAGGATTGCCTGCTTGGCTACCAGCGGAGGCAGTCCCGCCTGCTTCTTCGCCGGCTTGTGCTGCAAGACCTTTTGTGGGCCCATGTCCTGCATGGCTTTCAGGTTCAGGCTGTCGATTTCCGGTGCCTTTCGGTGCTTGGCGTTTCGCTTGGGGTTGGGGCTGGGGTTGTGGTTAACTAAACCTCTGCGATTCTGACCCTGAACCAACTTGCCTGGACCGACCTAGACCTAGGACCCTTAACTAATCTAAATTCTAGATCATAGCTCCCTCATCACCGATGCCTGAAATCTCAAAGCATCCGAAACCTCCAATCACTCAGAAGTGGTTTTGCCAGGACTTGGACGGCCCCGAACGTTCCAGGTAGTAAGCAAGTTACCGCTTCGTTCCAGGATTGTCCTGCTCTTGCTAACTCTAACCACTTCCAACCACTGCCTGGCCTTACTAGTACCCTAAACCCTTCCAGTCAAGCCCGCCGAACCCAAGCCCGCTTCCACCTCCACCCCCCCATCGAAACCCACCAGCTACGGTGCTTCTATGTCTAGTGTATTTACCACTTTACGGAGAAGGGGGTCTGGGAAGCAAAAACTGGAATCACTCTATTCTTGCCGCCGGGAATGGCTGGCAGGGCAGCCGGTGCAGCAGGGCGGCGCCACAAAAAAGTCAGTACCACCCTCAACCCTCAACTAAAACGTTACAAGCTGTATGCCCGACCTTGGCCAACCACCAGGAGCCGTGCTCCTGCACATGCTGCACGAAGGTGTAGGCCTGGGCTACCGGCGTTCATTATAATCGGCTATGGTATAATGCAGTATAGCATCGTATATAATCTTACAGTATAGTATATTATAGAACATTTTTGTGTAATCTAGTTCATTAAAGTATCCTGTAGCATATTCTAGAATATGTTAGTATATTATTGGGTATTACAGTACATTATGATAACTACATTATATGTTATAGCATATTACCGTATATGCCATCTTATAGTATATTCTAATTCCTTCTTGTGTTTCATATATGAGAATTATTGCAGTTGTGGTATGTGAGTTCTAGATGTGGCGTTTACGGCTGTTTCAACAGTGCAGTGAGGGTTTTGGGTCTAGGGATGTAGAGTTTGAGGCTTCGAGTTGTGGTTGCAGGCTAAGGAATTTCAGGTGCTGGACCGTCTTCCAGGGCTTAGGTACTAGGGTTTTGTAGGCTGCGACTGGGTTTGCGAGGGATGTAGAGCCTGGCGAATCTACGCCCTGCAGTGGAGGGACAGTAGGGACGTTTTCAGCTTGAGCGGCGTGGAGCTTGTGCTGCGGAAGCGTTTGGGAGTTGAGGGATCGAGGATCGTGAGCATTAGACGACTGCTGGCTTAAGGTTGGAGACTTCGACTAATGCGGCTTCGGGCCTAAGCTAGGTTAAGCACTGCCGTCCCAGTGCATTGAGGCTTGAAAAATCCTAAGCTGCGACCTCATTCGTTCTAGCACCGCCAGGCTTCTGCAGATGAGGTTCGCACGGATAGAGGACTAGAGCATAGGTTCAGAAGAGTGGCTGCAGGGCAGGTTCGAAGTTTTGAGGCGTGGGGTGCTTATGGGAGTGCAGAGTTTCCACCCTGAAAGTCGAACCTTAGCTTGCTTTCTTTGCCGCGGCACACAAGCCCCGGCTACGGCGAAGGCCAGCTGGGTGAACTCCAGCGGCAGGAACATGAGAGCTGTAATCTGAGCAAATGGCTCTACTACAGAAAATGTAAGGTTTTCAAGGTTCCGAGTCTGGGCCTCTTCTAGGTTGAGGGCCATTACAGCCCTGCTCTTGTGTAGTACATGATGGTATATCATAGACCCCAAGACCCCAAGCCTTTATATAAGGGCCTTAATGATTAGAATAGGGAGGTTGGGGCCTTTTATACTATACTTATGATAAGGAGCCCCCAAAAAAGTATAGGTACTTATTTAGGCCCCTACTTAAAGGATCATGGGACTTAGTAAGTAGCGTTATAAGTAAGGTAACTACAGTTATAATTGCTTATAACCACAATTCAGGCACTTATAACCCTACTTACTAAGTCCCATGATCCTCCAAGTATAGTCACCCCCAAGTCCTCAACTTCCTGGACAAGTCGAGGAGCAACGATCAAGAGGCCGACTCCGCGATTGCTGGCCATCCTCGATTGATGGCTTCGGGTGGCTAAGGCTAAGGGGTACCATAACCCTAAGGCTCAAAATAGCGCAAAAGCCTTGTATAGTATGGTCTTTGGGCCCAAAAGCCTTAAGATATGAGTCCTTAGAGTCTAAGGGTAAGCCACTATAAAGCTTGCTATAAGGGTTACTGTTGATGCGGTACAGCTGGGCTTACATCCGGGAAGGCAGCTCTGTAATCGGGATCTATGCCCTGATCCATGGCAAACGCGGTCGAATTGCAAAGTTCTTTTTCCACAAACTGCGAAAGTCTTGTCAACTGCTTGGAAAGCCTTTGTTGTACATGTTTGCACATCAAGCATGTTGATCAATCGCGTGGTCTCAAGGGGCAATTCCGTAGCCCTCCCTGGAGAAACATGAGCGGCAGCATGATGCTCAACCGTTCGTCCTTTACAAAGCATCCCTGCACTCACAAGGCCCTTTTGTGCATCAACACTCCTCCTCGGTTGGTGTGTCGGCACTCCAAGCGCAAACCTGATGCACATCACCCCTCTGGAAGGATCTGACCATGCGTGACCTTGTAGTAGAGGGGGAAATTGCCATCGCAATAATAGCAAACTTGCATCTGCTTCAACCTGCTTTTATTGGCATGTCTCAAACCATGACAGTTTGACACTGCATGGAGCCTGTCTCCATGCTCAGACATCACGAAGCTCCTCCTCAAGCGACGATACTGCCCATTCTGTGCATGCTCCAAAGCAGCTCTGAGATCTGGATCATCCTCTGCTCTTGCCGCTGCGCTGAACGCAGCTGTAGTAGGTACCCCGCTGGGAACAGCAGGTGTAGTAGGCGCAGCACTCGATGTAGCTGGCGTAATAGGCACTGCACTAGACGAACCCGGCGTAGTAGGCCCCTCGCTGGATGTAGCCGCCCCACCCAAAGGCTCAACTGGCATCGCCTTTGTGCCAACAGTCGTCGCCCTTGGCTTTTCTTCATACATTGGGTCCGCTGAGCTCGCACTCATTGAAGCCAACTCTTCCTGAAGCGCCCTTGATGCTTGATTCCGGATCCTCATAAGCCTCCTGGCCTTTGCCAAGGTCAACTCATCATCTCCAAAGAGCTTGTGTGTAACCCACTTCAGCGTCTCCCAGATTCCAAGCAGAGCAATGCCACCAATCAACAATAGCCCATAGAACTCAAAACTACCATCGTAGTCCAAAGGCTTCTTGTGGTAGACCTCTGCCGCCTCCGTCACGGGCACACTGTTCATCAGCATGAGCCACACAAACATCCTCAGCAAGTCATAATACTCGGGGCCGTGCAACGACTTGATGATCACTTCTTGGTCCTCTTTCTCGAACTCCTCTGCCGTGCACATACCCGACAACCTTCGTAACTCAACCAGCCTGGCTACTGGCACTGGCTTTGTTCCCATATCCGCCACCTGAACTTCACCTGGGGTGTGTATCACATGGATTCTCCCTTCGCTGGTCTCCATCCTGAGGTGGCGTGCCTTCACCTTAAGGTGCCTAGTCTTCCAAGAGCCCGGTGAGGTTGTTGCCAGGCCACAAGCCGCCGTGTTGTCCACTCTCAAGACCAAGGGCTCTTCCATGTCCTCTGTGGAAACTTCGTTCACCCACGCTTGAAGCCCTGCAGCTTGCTGGCTCGCATTCACCAACTCCACCAACTCAGCCTCTGCAGCTGAAAGGGCTATTGTAGGTTGCTTTGTCATTCTCCATGCCGCAAAACCACCATAAGTAGCCGTGGTAACACAACCAAAGCTGCGATCTCCTTGTGGCGCAAAGCTTGCGTCCGAGTAGGCGACCACCGGACCCCCTTGGCCATCATAGCTTAAACCCATGGTAGGTGTAGCCGCCAGATATCTCATTGTCATCCTGGCCAGTCGGATCGCTGCATTGGGATCCTTGGTGGCCGCGCTGCAAACATGGGCTGTAGCAAACCCAACGTCCGGCCTGGTTCTTGTGAGCAGCCACAGCAACTCACCCGCCATCCTTTGCGCTTGCTTCACCAAGTCGCTGTCAACCACAACCATCTCCTCCTCATCGGCTTCCTCGTGCTGTGGCATGCTTTCCTTGGTTGCAGGCACCTGTGAGGGCTTTGCTGCCTCCTCAGGGTAGTTTCTGAGGAGCTCTGCCACATAACTTCCCTGTGAGATGTGGAAGCTGGTGACATCCCCCAACTCCTTTCTCCTCACATCCATCCCAAGGTAGCGAACCGGTTCTTTCCCCAACCACTCCAGAGGTGAACACTTCCAACCCCCTTCTTCTTTTGTGCCTTTTGTAAGCCACTCGTACATCACCTTGATAATGTCCTCCGGGCCCAACATCATGGCATCGTCAACGTAGACTATCATCATCGCGATGGTGTGGGACTCCTTTCCAACCTTCACCAATCTCCAAACCGCTGGGTCCGTCTCCATCTGCAGGAACACACACTGTTTGTCCCCGACCTTCAACTCGGCACGGCTGATCCTTCGGTCCCTAAAACTTCCCCACAACCGCGGCGCCTCTCTGAGTCCGTACAACACTCGGTCCACCGAGTAAGCTGTGTTTGGCGGGGCACATCCCGCATCCACCACAACCTTCGGCATGGTGATCGCGTAGCGGACCTTAGACTCCGTCATAGGTGTTAGGGTGAATGCCGAGTTCACGTCGGTCACTGCTCCATGCCACTTCCTTTTCGCCCCATAGGACAACGAGCATCTCACGCTCTCGGCATTGGCTGAAGCAGTGTACACTTCCACCTCGTTGTGAATGTAGTTCCCACAGATCACTATCCTCGAACGGCGTTTGTAGAGCCCATCTCCTTCACCTGGGGGCTTCACTGTGTGGACAGTCTTGGCCGGAACCAGAACCAGCTCTCCCCGAGCTGCTCTCTCCTTGGCCTCTTGAAGGGGAAGCCCTCGCAGCGTTCCTGATCCCTCCAAAGTTTGGACCTCCTTGGCGATGCTGGGAGTCCATTCCTGTAAGTGTCTCTTTACTTCCTGTAGGTCCACCGTATGGACCGTCTCCAAGGGCTTTCCCAACGATTGCAACATCTCCTCCACGTTCTCGGAAGCACTGCTGCCAACCGCCATTCTCATGAGGTTCACCCTGTTCTGTTGTCTCGTGTTGTCACTGACCGCGAGCAGCTCGTTCATGTAGTCAATGGCCTCATCTAGCTTGTAGAACATCTGCCGCTCTCTCTGACCCGCATACTCCCCACGGGCTTCCTTGGCTCGGCGCACCTGCCTTTCTTCCTCCACAAGGTCCGAGAGCCACGACACCCTCCTCCTCAGGTGCTCCTCCTCATCGTGACCCAAGGGCATAAGAGGGGTCGAAGTCATCACCACATTCTCTTGGCTCCCCTCCGGGCAGTACCTTATCGCCCAACGAAGCCTGAGCTCAATCCTTCCACCGGGAAGGACTGTTGTGTCCATTCTCTCTCCACTGAACTCAGGGAAATTCTCTGGTCGCCTTCCTGAGCTCGCCGATGAACTTGAAACTGGCCCCATTGGCGCCGTTCCTGAGCTCACCTCCATACCTTCCTCAGTAGGGGGCCTCTGCAGCGTCGATTCACTGGAAGATCCCGGCCCCAAGAAGCTGGAGCCCGACACCGCCGTAGTCCCCGTTGCCGGCACCATCGTAGAGACCTGGTCCGAGTCTGTAGGGATTGGTGGTGCTGGTGGCCTAGGCTTCGGATGTCCAAACATCCTCAGGCAGGGCTCCCTCTCTGGAAGAGCAAAACCCAAATCCACCAAATCCTCACACTGATGATCATACAACATTTCCCACTTGCTGACGGTGTAACCGATGATCACGACTCGGTCCCCTTCTTCTCCACGAAGAGGTGCATGAAGCCTGTCCGGGCGCACTGTTGTTGGCTTTTCCACACTGAACAACTGTCCCGGGACTTCCTTCTCCTTGAACCACATAGACTTGTACTTCCCATAAAACTCATCTCCCGGCTTCAACTCCTGCCACACACTGCTTCCTTTGGAAACCTTAAGCGGCGAAACCAGGTTCACGGTGGACTTAAGATTGAAGGCCTCCTTATGTAGGGGCATTGTGGCATTCTTCACCAAGGCCACCGATGTGAAAACCTTGCCTGGGTGGTCGATGCTCAATAATTTTGCCGCCCACTCCGCCTCCTGGGCAAACTTCTCCGTCGCAACCGTGATACTGGTAATACCTCCGTGCTGGTAGGCTCCCAGGTTCACGTAGGCAGCACCATCCCAAGCATCCCCATCTTTCATCTGTGGTCTCTCCACCTTTGCTTCTGGCGACTCCCAAATGCTTGAGGCAAGGAGCCGCTCCACCAAAGCTTTTCGGCCTTTCACATCAAGGGCCCTCAACTCTGGGTCAGCCAACTTTGTCTTCCTCCGCAGTCTTCTTGTTGGTTCCACCAGGTCTACGACAAACTCCTCGTCGTCCTCGTCCTCCACTTCATCGTCACGCACCGTCCTCATATGCAACGTGCGTAACCAAAGACCATCGTCCAACCTCACCACATGTCCTTCACGAACATCGTCTGCTGGTCCCATATAGACTCCACGCTCCCATCTTGGATCGAAAGGTCCACGGTCTTTCTTGGACTTTACCCACACCACTGCTCCAAACCTGATGTCCGGGGCCTTCTCCCCAAGCTCCCTTGCATTGTGAAGCTTGCACGCATGCTTCATCGCACACGGCCACAGCTCCTTGTCCAACTCCGCATCCTGGAGGTGAAGCCTCGCCTTTCCCTTTAGCCACTTTACATGGCTCTCTGCTGCAGCGTTCTGCGACGGGGCTAGTCCTTCCGTGTAGGTTTGATAGATATCTCTGTCCCGACACCAACGTCTGAGCGGTTTCACTCTGAACTCCCTCGCCCTGTCTGAGTGCAACCGGACAACAGGCATGCCCAGAGTGCGAATGCGTATGTAGAGATCTTGAACCGCCTCCAGAACCTCTTTTCCGCTGTGTCGCTCCAAAGGGACCACAAAGCGAAGTGCCTGCATCTCCATAGGGCGCCTCAGATCCTCCACCTTC